TTGGGGCGAAAACTACAATGGGTTGCCCTTTATTCAAAATGATGTGATTATGAAGTACTATGTCGCTGTCATGGGCTTGTTGTGCCACAAGCACTGTCTGCAACCTTACAAAAAAACACACACAAAGATGAACCAGAAGTGATTCGGCATTTGATGAAGGAGATTCTAGAGATGAAAAAGACACTAGCTGTTCATCATGCAATGGATGATCTTAACTACCTGGGAGGAATGGAGGGTCAGTACTAGGATTTATTAGAAAATGAAAAATTGCATAGAGACAATGATTATCCTATTTTCCCAACAGTTGTCGAGTGGGGGGTGGGGGGGTGGGGAGGGGGGACTACCTAAGTTTCTACCACAGACGTTGGACGTAGGAGTCCCATATTGTTGTAGAAATCAAGCAAGTGGTCTTATTGATGATAGCGATGAAATACGATAAATGTGTGTCAACTGGGGCTAGCTTAAGATTCCCTCGGTCCCGAAGGGTACGTACACGGTGTTGACGAAGAAGATGAAGACAGTGAAAATGAAATAGTGCCAGACAACGACGATAATGGCGAATAACAATTGTTTTTTTCTTGGGTGTATGTTAAATTGTTGTATTGAAGTATTAATGCTAAATATCAATTAGATTTAACCCCAATGGAAACATAATTTTATTTTATACATTTTGCAAGCTGAACATTTACACTTATTACAACAAATTACTGCAACAAAACAGAACGTTGTCTAACAACAAATTCTGTTCAGAACTTAAGATACCGCCATGATGATCAGATATTAGACAAATACTTGAACGTTGTCTAACAACGAGCTCCTTTAAGTGGTTCAAAAATAATGTCCACGTCTCTTGGCTTTCGTTGGCACAAATAGCAAATGCTAGGGAAAATATACTTTCATTAGCATCTACTGCAACGACGATCAACAACTTAATATCATACTTAACCATCAATGGCTGGTTTAAATGTCTAGAACACATATTTGAATATATGTTCTGGTATTCTCAGACTCCGCTCAAGCTTCCATTCAACAACAGTCCCGGGGTTAAAGTGTTGCAATGCGGCCATGTATCTGGTAGAGATCCAAAGGACTTATCCAAGTTACCATAAACAATGTCAAACACAAGTTTGCGCCCGAGGAATGCCTTTCTTTTGGTAATAGTACACCCATATACCTGGTGGACAGATGTTATACACTATTTGATCTTGTACCTTATGGACGCTTCAATGTGTGAAATCAAGACAAGAGAAATCAAGTCAACATTCAAGTTAAAATGATTCCCACTGAATGTGTTCATTTCACAATTGTGGGTGCCAATGTATTTACCCACAACCCACATATTTGTTTTCAGCTTCCTCGCACGCAGTATCCAATTACAACCCGTAAACCATCTACTACAAATAACCTTGTATACATCCGGAGATGACTCATGAACCCCGATCTCACGACACTCTTTTATGCTGTACATTCGCACCGCCCTGCTTAGGCGCGCTTTATCAGCAAAAAGCATGCCCTTTGACAGCGATGTTGCTCTAGATTCAACTCACAAGCAAATGATCAAGGTAGGGAATCTCCCTTGAATGAAACGACACATTGGACTCGTACACTCTTGGTCTAACGGGAGGTGGAGCATGCTCCCTCGTCAAATCAGGTTCAACATTCTCGTCCTCCTCATCATCACGCTCATCTGAGAGGGGTGTGTCATCTCCAAACTCATAAGCATTGTTGTCATAATCACTATTCTTTTCTTGACTCTGCGCATCTGCCAGATCCCGATTAAATATGTCGTCTTCGGGCAATTGAGTAAGGACATGACCTCCAAGTTGCTCGTTTTCACTTCACAACCAATAGAATAATGAGTTTCTCAAATTGATCCGAACTTTACATATAGCTTTATCACTTCACTTACAAATCATAATGTGTTGATATCCCATAATGCACATTATCCTGTTGATGATGACTCTCGGATCGACCACCATGATCCAATACACCAAAACTAGGCACATTCCAACTGGCCGTTGGTTCATAACTTGTAAAATTCATATCTGGCTGGTACCCCTATATAATATATGAGTGTTTATACAAATTCAATACATAAAAATAAACATCATAACATAGAGAAAAATTGAAGTTAACCACTCGACTTGTGGATTATGTAAACTTGGGGAGAAATTATTTCCTCGCTCCTCATTCGCCCGTGGAGATAAGTTTAGATCAGGCCAAACTCTTTCACCCGGACCCTGTTCGGCTAAAACTGCTCCAAAATAACCACCCGATGATTGAGGGATATCCCTACTTTGTGGAACCTCATTATTGCGAATGTCTTCAGCCTTGACGTACATTTTCAACATTTTTATCACAAGAAATTCCCGGTGTTCATCCGGAGTCCTCAAAAAATCTTTCAGAGTTTCATCATCTTTGATGTTAAACTTAGCATAACAAGCAACCCTTTGCGGAGTAACAAAATACGGATATCTCCCGATTACTTTAATATTCACCACACGTTTGACCACACTCATTTTTTTTACATAACAATGATATCAATGTATCTTACTCCATTATAAGTGGCAACTTAATGACACTGTGGAGGACAATTATAGCGTACTTAGTTACTCTCCACCACAACCTCACCCCTCCTCCCCTTCCACCAATATAATAAAACTCTAATTTTTCGCTCTTCGGACATTATGACAAAATGCAAAATAACTTAAAGGACAAATATTTAACGAACAAATATTTCGGAAGACTTGAAGGATCCTGAATGGATTTTTACAAAATCCTGAAACTCCTTAAATAAGGAAAAAATCAGTCCCGGGGGTAGAACTATTTGATGTATAGCGCCTTAAATATGGGCGCTATACTCCTATGAATTATTAGTGTGCCAGTTAAGTCCAGAAGAATTATTGGTGGGCCCAACTTTTATATATAGTGCATATATATATATACTATGAATTAATTCACCGCGCTATACCTTAACGGACAAATGTGCCGTTAAAGTATAACGCGGTGAATAACCGTACTATATATATATATATATATATATATATATATATATATATATATATATATATATATATATATATATATATATTATGGCGCCCAGTCTTTTTTTTTTCCATTATGATCGCTCGAGTCCAAAAGATCCGCACTCGAGTTTGTTCTGTCACTTCTCATAAAGCTCAAACAGCACAGCTCCACTGCTAACACAGAACTTTCCAAAGAGAGCCAGGCGTGATGACTACACCTAGAGAAAGAGTCCGGAACCGAAATGTTATCTTTTTGGACTCAAAATACTTTTTTAGGTGGAAAAAAACTTAGTTATCAAAATATGTAAAACGCGATTTTGAACCGCGTTTTACCTTAACGGCCGTTTGGGACGTTAAGGTAAAACGCGGTTCAAAAACGGCACGGCCGTTAAGGTAAAACGCGGTTCAAAAACGACCGTTAAGGTAAAACGCGATTCAAAACTGCATTTTACAAAAACGCGATTAAAAATCACGTTTTACAAAAACGCGGTTCACAACCACGTTTTCTATTGTCTCCGTTTCCAGAGCAATCCCAAACAATCCAAGCTTACTTTGAGCATTTTCGGATAACGACATTTGCAATAGGAGATAGCTCAGGCAACCAGTTCTTGCCAGTGGATGAAGACCCCATCTCCTCTAAATCTTCATCAAGTGAACTCGGGTTTTTTGTCAACCATTTAAATGACCCATCTTTAACCAGATCCTCCAGCATAGTTCTGGTTTTGCTAACCATAGCCATTTAAAAAAAACCTCCGTTCTTAGATCATTTACCAATAGAAGGTCACCCACTTAAATGTCTACACAATAAATACTACCATCAGGATTTGTCTACAAAATTACTTCATTCACCGTTTGTGGGTACCGAGAATCAAAATAGCATAGTTAAAGACTAATTATTGAAACTCTAGCAAGTATTACAGCGATGTGCATCGATTTCTTTGCTATGGGTCGACTCAATTAAGTTAAAGGGTTTAATAGAAACAAACCCTTGATAGATACCCCCAATAAACTCCCAAATCAGTGATAGACAGTTTGAACATCTAGTTGAGTAAGGATCAGATACCTGTAAAACAATAGAAAATGCGGTTGTGAATGTAATGAACTCAATTTGAATTAAGGAATTAAACTACAATAATGGAAATAGAATGATTTTTTGGGGCAATATTCCGTTATATTGATAAAGGAAAACTAACGATTACAACTGAAAGGAAATTGACTACTCTTAACTAGACTCCATAGCTGCAGATACCTGAAGGAAGAAGAGAAGAACAAGATCTGTTAGGAAGAAGAAGAAAAAGAGGAGAGTGAAAAGAGAGAAGAGAGAATCGAAGAGAGAGAAAGGAGATTACACTGATGAACGATGCCTTCTCTTTCTGCTGAAGGTGGTTATAACAACCTTCTAGCTGACGCGGCTAAATCTGGACCCTTGCAGCTTATTAATTCTAAAACTAATCTCGGCCGTTCATTTAAAATTCAATTAACTCCCTTCCTAGTTTCTGTTACAGCTGAGCTTCAGCTCCCACTTCGAACTCAGCTAGCAGCGGTAATATTTATGGACTTCATTGGATCATTACAGTTGAACAACGTTTTTGTAAAACATGGTTTTTAATGGCGTTTTTGTAAAAAATAATTTTGAACCGCGTTTTACCTTAACGTCCCAAACATACATATTTTGGTAACTAAGTTTTTTTTCACCTAAAAAAGTATTTTGAGTCCAAAAAGATAATATTTTGGTTCCGAACTCCCTAGAGAAACGAAAATATTGAATTTACTGAAAAGGGTTCAGTAGTGGCGTCATTTACAGAAACCTAAGAAAGATCCCGATGTAGCAAGTGGCTAAAACAGGGTCAAAACCGACTTTACACTGATGCTATCACCGGGTCAATATCGGAGTTGAAACCGGGTTCGGATCTTCGTCACCGATCAGTTCACGTGCCTTTGAAATTCCCTAATTTCCCTCCCAATTCCAAAATTCCCCATCACAGTTTACCCAAAAAAGAAATAAAAAAGAAAAGAAAATGTCGCAGCGACGCGATGATTATACCTCAATAGTTGAAGCCATGACTTTGATCAATCAGAAAGTGAATCTCATGGGCGTCGTCCTCGAAACTAGCTTTCCAAGGAAGACCAAGGGCACTGGTGAAAAGCTCCTTTAACAATTTCAAGTTGCTTTCTTTCAAGTCGTTGGTTGTTATTTGTAAAGATTTGAGCTTTTTCTTTCTACAGATTACTTCTGTTTGGTTAAAATCATTGATCAGTCATACCAAAGTCGTGGGCTTTCTGTTAATATCTTCACTGAGACGATAGAAAAACTGCCCTGGTACTCAATGCTGGTGATATTATTCTGCTTTTTAACGTTAGGGTAACTCTTCCATTTGAACTTTTACCTTTGAACTTTATTTTACTATGTTACTAAAAATCTTGACTTATTTATGGTTATTGCACTTTGTACAGATGAAAGTTCATAATTCCGTGGTTCATGCTGTGTTCAATAAAAATTTCTCTTCGTTTGCTTTGTTTGATGGAAAATATAGTACAACCTTCCTTCCCTATTAATGTTATTTGACTTATCTTCATAGGGAGCGAGACGAGAAACTTATACTCGGTTTAAGGAAGTGGTTGGTTGATCACTCTATTGTAGCAGGTACTCTCCTTTTCTGGTCTAAATGATCCATGAAAAGTTATGTACTTTTACATAGTGATTGCATGGTTGATATATTTAGGATACAACTTTGGAACCTGAAGTCTTTCTAAAATGTATCTTAGTCGGTGTGGAATCATCTGTTTCCATATAAGGATCAAAAGTAACATTCTTACCCTTCTCGTGCAGGGAGTGGAGTGAGAGAGTGCTAGATTTCGATTTATAACCATTTTAATTCAAAGATTTGACTCTTGATATGCTATAATTACCTTAATAAATTTCCAATCTTTGAAAGATATCAGGGAAGGAGATGGCTTCAATTTGGTTTGCAAGGTAATACTAGTACTAGTACTCTTTATTAGCATGGCCTCCATTAAATTTATTTGGAAGATCAATCAAGGAAACATGTTGCCGGTTGTTTGTTGTTCTCGAGTCTTGACTGTGGATGATTTCACTGAATATTTTCATTGCAAATTTTGATGGCATGTGCAAGATTCTTCGTGTAGTTAGAGAAGATGAGTGGATCCTTCTTGTGTGGGATGGAACTGACACTCCACCAGTTGCTATTAATGCAAGGTGACTGTTATATTTGTGCTTTTGATTACCATCACATTAGTTTTCTTTTAGAGGATAGTATTCATTATTTCCTTTTCAAGTGGAGGTACTTTGTTGCACAAGAAGTACTGCTATAGTTGTGAAGTAGATTAGTTTAAACGCTCCCTAACAAATTTTGCCTGCAATTTATATTTGAAGTAAGTGGACCTCATGAACTAATTGCATATCAGATTGAGCCATCCAACACTTGCTCAGCTGCTTTTCTTTAAGAAAATATTTGCATTTGATTATGAAAGCTTTGTAAGCATTTACATAGTTTTACGTGTATCTATGAATTACAGGTTAGAGGATGAACTGGAAACCCCATTTCCTTTAGAGTCAGTGCCAGTTTGTCTGCCAAGAGACATATTCTGCAAATTGCCACCTCTTGGAACTGTGCTGAGGGTAACTCTGAATTGTGGCAATGAGAAACTTGCAATGAACGTGCTCAGGACCAATAGATGGGTGAAATTTGATAACCTAAGATGTCAACTTCTTGACTCACTGTGGCATGCTGCCCACTTGCCGACTACTAGGTTTTGCTATTTGCGCGATGAAGATCACATTGTTTCACAGCGCATGAGGTTTTCTTCTCTGATATTTACATATTTTCTTGTAATTATGTGCTACAACATAGTGTGTATCGGGGGGGGGGGGGGGTCTGGGGTCACGTCAACCCATGTTTCCTAATGTTATACTTTATTAAAAGTACTTAAATATATATGTGTGCACCCAAGCTCAAAATATCATATGATCTGATGGTTATTGGTTGCACCTCTCTAAGCAAGGTTGGGAGTTAAATCTTACGTCTATCTTGTTGTTTTTTCTTTCTTTTTCTAGAATTTGGTGCACCCATTAGAGATGGGCATGTCTGGTGTCACTTCTTGCAATTAATTAAGTACTTTTTCTTTTGCTTCTTTCTTTGTTTGGTGTTTTCTCTCAAAATTTCCAAGTCTGATATATTGAGGAGTGTGTGTATATGTAAAATTTATATTCTGGATCCACTCGTAATAGTGTACCCATCTTCCCAGAATCCTGGATACGCCTCTGTCGGTAAGATAAGCATGTCCTGCATAGTTACTCCACAACCATGTAAAACACGTTATCTTGTAGCATTGTAACTAATGCCTATCGCATAATCACCAGAACATCCTGTTGCAGCTTGAAGGTGTCATGATGAGTTTCTTGTTCTCCATCCAGTGCCGTGTTTTGCATCTCCATTACTATTCTAACATCTACAAGTTGCATATCTATAGGGAGTATGATAAGCATATCAAATCTAAATGGGGGATGGATGCCTCTTTCAGTCTTACCTTGGCCAACTCATGTGACAGGTTTGATTGATGTGCTCACGATAGATCTCCATGTTTGATCTATAATAATATATACCAGCATTCGCCTAATAATACTTTGTTATAATAAACTTTCAGTGACCGACCATTCCGAAGTGCCTTTTGTCTCCTTGATGAGAGCTCTTGTGCATCCCAAGGTATCTTGCTGCTTCGTAAAGACATTCATTTATTCTTTTCCCTTTTTGCTTTCTACTATGTGTTAGAGAGTTGTATTTAGTCATTCAGTTCTTTTACGTCTCTTTGCGAATAATACATCTTCATGCCTGGTTGTTTCACTCAGGCGTTATCAGACTTTTTTTGCTATTGGACTTATTGCTGAAGGGCTGGAAATGCCCATGAATAGAGAATACTGATGTCTCATAGGGGATTGTATCCAACTGGGTGAGGTATTCCAGTTTGATCAGTTTGGATTTAGCTCTGTGTTATCTGTTCATTGCCATTTGCTTTCAGTGGCTTCTATTATTGTATTTGTTTGCCACTTTAAGTTCGATTTTTCAAGGCTCAGAATAAGGAGAATGAAAAATCCCTTTTTGTTGTCATCAATGCTGGTTAAGTTGGTACTATGTTTATGCTTGCACCAGCGATACTTGAAAGCAAAAAAAGAAAGGGGGGGGGGGGATTATATTTGCCAAAGCGCTAAACCTAAGGGGAGCTGTTCCATTTTTTTTTTTTTTTATGTCTTTGTCCATAAAGTTGACGGTTATAGGATGTGTAGTTTGAGATGATTTTGTAAATGATCATGTGTTGGACCATATACTTGACTTTGACATATTCAAAGTTATATCACTGAGCTTCTACCTTGTAGGTGGTAGGTAAATTCCACTGTGTCGTTCGAGTTGTGGCATCATTCCCTTGGTTTGTTGAGGATTATTGGTCCCCTACTGGCGTTTATAGGATCAGGCTAACCCTAGAAGATCCTACTGCCAGAATACACGCCTATCTATATGCTGAGGATGCGGTACCAATTTTCTTTGTGTATTCAGTTTCCTATTTATGTTGTGAATATCTCAGAATGCTTCACTTAGGCCTTTTGAATGTTATCCTAATGGAAAATGCTTTACGCTAAACTTCATTCCAGCTTATTTTGGTTGATATGTCTTGGACTATCTTTAACGAGAATGCTGATTAGGTTATAGATTGAACTTTTTGGTTGATTTGGCTTTATAGCCTGTTTGGCCAAGCTTCTCCGAACCTAAAAAAAGTGCTTTTTTTTCAAAGTTGAAGTGTTTGGCCAAGTTGCAAAAATCAGTTTATTTTGAGAAGTGCTTTTCTCAAAAGTACTTTTTAGTGAGAAGCAGTTTGTGTTTGGCGAATTAATTTGAAAATCACTTATGAGCAGCAATTAGTGTTTGGCCAATTTTTAAAAAACTGCTTCTAAGTGTATTTTTTTCAAAAGTGCTTTTCAAAAAAGTACTTTTGGAGAGAAGCTTGAACTTTCTTTTTCTGCTTCTGCTTCTGCTTTTCCTCAAAAGCACTTTTTTACTTTCAAAAGCTTGGCCAAACACCTTAATTTTAGAAAAAAAGAAAAAAGTACTTTTGACGAAAAAAAACATTCTCTCTCAAAGGAAGCTTGGCCAGATAGGCTTGTAGTTTTGGAGAAGCAGAAAAAATTAATTTCTCTCTAAAAACACTTTTTTAAAAAGCACTTTTGAGGAAAGTACACTTAAAAGCAGTTTTTAAAAGCTTGGTCAAACACTAGTTGTTGCTCAGAAGTGCTTTTCAATTTAATTAGCCAAACACAAGCTGCTTCTCAGCAAAAGTACTTTTGAGGAAAAACACTTCCTAAAACATGTTGACTAATAGCCTGTTTGGCCAAGCTTTTTTTGGCCAAAAGCACTTTTGGTCAAAAATTAAGGTGTTTGACCAAGTTTTTGGAAGGAAAAAAAGTGCTTTTGAGGAGAAGCAGAAGCAGTTTTGGAGAAGCAGAAAAAAGTAGCTTCTCTCCAAAAGCACTTTTCTGAAAAACACTTTTGAGAAAAATACACTTAGAAGCAGTTTTCAAAAGCTTGGCCAAACACTAATTACTGCTCAAAAGTGCTTTTCTAATTAATTAGCCAAACACAAACTACTTCTCACAAAAAGCACTTTTTTTAATAGTGCTTTTGAGAAAAACACTTCTCAAAATAAGCTGATTTTAGAAGCTTGGCCAAACAGGCTATAATAGCCAAACATGCTATTAGTCTACATCAACTTTTCCATTCTATAATATGCAAGGCAGTATATGTTTATTGTGCCTAGGCTGATAATTCTAACTTCCGTTTACTTCACTTACCCAGGAACAGTTCTTTGGTGGCTACCCTGCTCTCGATGTGCTTAAAAGAATGCGGAGTTTGTTGCTTGGAATTTGTGAAAGTGATGGTGATAGTGAAAGGAACGAAACTTGCAGAAATCCACCCTGGATAATGTGTTGCTTGAAATCCTATCACATTGATGAGAGATATATCTGGGGAAGCAGGAACTTTCGAATTTTTGCAACCACGCTGAAGATGTAAGCAAGTGAAAGTTGTATATTTACAGTGTATATGTAAATGTAAAGCACCAAACCTATTTTGGCTTGTTTTGTAAATGTGGTGCATGGTGCTGGTTTTTGCAAAACTATGTATCAGCCTTTTTTGCTCTAAAGTAACTAAGGGGTCGTTTGGTATGAGGTATAAGAAGGTATAAGGGTGATATAAAAATTTAATACCACCTTAATACTCTATTTGGTTAGTAAACCAAGTATAAGTTATCCCGGTATTAATTTTAACACTAGGATAACTTATACCTTATAAAAGGTGGGGTAATTAACACCGGTATAACTTATACCTTCTTCTTAGAAATTATGCAATTGTCATTCTTAATACAACATACCAAACAATGAATAAACAACAATCCCAACATAACTTATCCTAATATAACTTATATCGGCATAACTTATACCGGTATAAATCATATTCCAACCAAACGACCCCTAAGCGTATTTTGCTTTCTTGTAAATGTTAGCAGTTACCTTTTCTGTACAAGTACGCTTCAAAGTTACTTTGTAGTAAATATTTTGGTGCTGAACAATTCCACATTAAATTTTGTATCCAAATCGAAATGATTTTCTCCCACCATATTGGGTCATTTAGTCTTCTTTTCTGTGTAAACACTAAACATCATATACATGATTTTGCAATTTTTGCTTAGTTAACAAGTTAAACTTGGTTTATGAACTAGGACTAGGTAACTTTCTTTATGGGACCTTTAACTGCTGCAAATATTCACACTATTTTTCACCTAAGCAGGATAGCTTGTGAATTTTCCAACCAACTAATTTTCATTTTGACATTTTGTAATGTTGGTATATAAGATTGTTAATACCATTTAGTCCTACAAGAGAAGTTAAAACACTTTTCATTACATTTCTGAAGATAGTTTGCCATGACAAATAAGAACAATGAAGAGAATTCCCCACAAATCACCAAAATTTGAAAAAAAAACAAAGAAAACATGCACAACTTTGTTAAGTACTGGTTAGTATATAGCAGTAGATTTTTAAAGAGATGTGCATATCTAGAGTGCTAGATCATATGACAATGATAAGAGCAATTCACTTTTTCTTTTACATGAAAAAATTAACTCAAGTGACTAAACGGATTCCATTTATCAACTTAGTAATAATAAAATTATGCTACTCCACTGTCAAGAAAATAGAGTTCAAGATACAATGCATACCTAATCTTTAGTGTGAATTCGAATCCTTAGTTTTTTGACAGACTACTAATCTATTTAGTAATTACGTAAAAATTCCTTGTAGTAATATCTCGGTTAAAAGAACAATATTAGTAAGAAAATAATTTCAAACGGTCAGAATGAGTCCAACTTTGCTAAATGGAAAATTACTTAAATAATGTATTTAGTCATAGTATCTCGGTTAAAACAACAATTTTAGTAAGAAAATAATTAAATGTCCAATGATGCATTTCATTCAATATTACTAAATTGTAGTGGTTAATTAATATACATTATTACCTTAAATTTAAACATAGCTTCGGTAAGTCTTTAATTTTTATGCTCTTAATGGAAAATCCGAATTTGTCTTTGTATTTTGTTGAAAAAAAGGTATGGCATCTCCTCAGAAATAACTAAATACCAAAAGAACAGATTTTCAAAATTTAGACTTTTGCTATAAAAAGCCTTTTCCTCGACTTATTTTCTCCATTCTGATCTGTGTTATCTTGCATTCTTCGAAAAAACAAATCTCATTTTCCGGTAAGAAAATAGAATTTTCCTTATTTTTCCTTCCGTTTTCTTATTTTCTAATGAATTTCGAGCTTTTCTGTAAAAAAAAATTATGTTTTTTCGCGAAAAGAAAAAGACAAATTATTTGGATGTTAATAGTTTTTTTTTAATGCTATTCTTTTAAGCGTTATATACCTACTCTTATTTTTAGTGTTATTGATCTATTAAAAGTTTGATAAAATCTGCAGTAGTCATAGGGTTTAAGCTAAATTTTTTGATTTTTCTACAGTTGGTTTGAGTGAGGAATTCAGTTTGATCTAGGGTTAGATTTTAACTGGTTTTTGCTACTAAGAATCTGAGAAAAAATGACAACTTTCATTTGGTTCTCTACTCAGGTCAACTATGGAAAACACATTCAAAACGTCAGCATCTCAGACTAGCGGAGAAATGAACACAGAGCAGCTCGCCGCCGCCGTCGCTGGCGTCAATCCGCCGACTGTTTCTCCTGCGGTTGCTCAGAACACTCACTTGTCCTTCGCTTCGCCGGCGCCCCGTCCGTATCCGTCGGCGGAGGCAGCTACCGGTACCGGTGCTCAGGTTGCTCAGAACACGCAGTTGTCATTCGCTTCGCCGCTGCCCCGTCAGTACCCGTCGGCGGAGGGCGCTACCGTTACCGGTGCTCAGGTTGCTCAGAACAGGCGCTTGTCCTTCGCTTCGCCGCCGCCCCGTCCGTATCCGTCGGCGGAGGGCGCTACTGGTACCGGTGTTGCGCTGTCAAATGTGAACGTCAATTCATCTGAACGGGTGACAAAGAAGAGAGGCAGGCCAAGGAAGAACGGCTCAGATGGGTCTATTGCGTTTGGTCCTATGGCAGCTGCTTCGGCATCCGCCGCCGTAACTCCGCCGCAAGGACCGGTTTCTTCTGCGGCTGCGCAGCCTGTATCTGAAGGGGGACCGTCGAAGAAACCCAGAGGCAGACCCCCTGGCTCTTGCGGGAAACAGCGACGTCGAACTTTTGGTAAATCCCTATATTCTCTCCTGTGTCAGTTCCTATTACTAGTTTAGTTTAGCACTCCGGTACAAAATAAGTGATTTTTTTGGATGGTTTTACCCAGATTAAGAAATCCATCTTTTAGCATTAATTAGCAAGAAATTGACCATATTAACCTTTATTATCTCACATAAACACTCCTAACACATACTCCAACATTATTTACTCCAAGGACAATGTAGGAAAAAAATAATTAATTCATTCTTAAAATCTGAAAAAATTACTTATTTTGGAACAAAAAAAATGTCAAAAAATCAATTATTTTGAACATGAGGGAGTATCAGGTTCTAATAAAAACATGCACACGTATAGACTAGAATGTTTGTTGGTTGGTTGACCAGTTTCCCTGTAGGGTTCAGTCCAAGTTTTGTCTTTTATCTCTCTTTTGTTAGTTTTACTTTCGAAATGGAAAAATTTGGTCCTAATTTATCATTTTTTAGCTGGTATAAAACATATATGGACGTAAAATATTGAGTATATTATATTAAATTATATGTTGATGACGGCAAAAACATAAGTAAAAGAGTTGGGCTACGTCAGCACTTACAATTTGAATGGTGCAAAAATATATTGTGTTTATACGAATCTCTTAAATGTAAAAATAAAAATATGATATAAAGAAAATGTAAAACTAAAAAGAAATTTGAAAAGAGTGATAAAACAAATAAAATCTATTTTTGCAATCATTTTCTTTCTTTTTTGATCTTTTTTTTACTGTTGAGAGTGACATGTCCCACATTTCCCATACTGCTTTGGTTTATCGAGCATTATTATTTTTACGACTTTTGATTTTAAAAAAATGTTTTTAATTGCAGGATCGGCAGGTTCTGGCATTACACTTACACCTCATGTTATCACTGTGGAAAAAGGAGAGGTTACTTCTTTAACCTTTTTGTTTTATTTCATTAATGCCATGAAAGTTATCTTGACCCTTGAATTCAAAATTTCTGCAGTAATATTTTTTGAGTTGTCATTTTAAGGGTAGTTCGAAGCTCGTTTAGTGCTGACTGCAGTAAATATGATATAATCTTAGCAAAATTTTGTTTATGCATGCACATGCTCTTGTGCGTCATGTTATAAATTAAAGAACCCAAAAGAGAGTAACTAATCAAAAGAAATACTCCCTCCGTTTTAATTTAGATGATGTACTTTAACTCGCCACGGAGTTTAGGAAAAAAAAAAAAAGGACTTTTAAAACTTGTGGTCTTAGAAGCGTAAGGGGTAAAAGCTTTGTGGAGCCATGATATTTATGTGGTTATAAAATCTTCTCTTAAAGGTAAAATGAGTAAAATGAAGAACTGAAAGTTGAATTATTTTCAAATTTAGAAATGTATCAAAGAGTAATTGGTCCTCATCTAATTCCAAATTTACATTGCATGCATTAATTATGATTTTACTAGTTTTAATCATCTTTTCTTTCAGGACATAGGAGGAAAAATAGTTTCATTTACTCGGCAAGCTGCAAGGAGTGTTAGTATCATGTCTGCCCATGGTGTTGTATCCAAAGTGGTGCTTGTACGTGCTGATGAAACTGAGACACATGAGGTATTGCCTTAACACTCATTGAAACCTTTTGATTTGTACTATGCACTTTAAATGGAAGTTCAACCTCATTGTAAATTTTTCATTCAATTGTTAATTAATACACAAAAAACAAAGTGGAATGAAAGCAAAAGATTTATATAGGCAATACCAACTAGTTGTGATTGAGTAATTATATATTCTAAGACGATTTCTTTATTCAGCTACATTCTACTTCTGCAATTTCAATACAGTTCATATGGATGTTAATCCAAATGTGTTCTCAACTCCTTTCTGTGTCCGAAGTTATGTGATGCATTTTTTCCAAATTGCACTTCTGCTGATTAAATGTGCATCATCTGTTTTATTCTTCCAGTATGTTTATCCTAGATAAATGCATAGACTTGAGTACGTATTATGTTTGCCTCTTGTAGGGACAGTTCGATATAGTGTCTCTATCTGGTTCCTTCAGGGAATCCATAATTGGCGATGAGGATAGCTGGACGGGTGCAATAAACATAGCTGTAACTAGAGATGGATTGGTGCTAGGTGGTAACGTGATCGGTGATCTGACGGCTGCATCACAAGTCGAGGTTTGCATTCTTTGAAGTCTTTATGAAGTTTCAGCTTGTGTTTACTATTTCTAGTGATCATCTCATAAAGCTCTAGCTACTACTAAATCTGTGTTAGTTGGGGCAGGAACTTACGTAGATTAGGATGGGAAGATTTTCTTGTATTTTCTCTACATTCCTTATCTTTGTGTCTTGTTCTTCTGTTTCTTTTCAAGTTCTGAGAATTATTCCTTTTTCACTAATGGAGTATTATTCTCTTCTTCTGACAAAGAAAGTACTATTTGCATGTGCATCCTGAAAAGGTTATATTTCTTTCCTGAGTAGTGACTTTTTTGTTGATAAATCAAATCCTAGAAATAGATATTGCCTTGACCTTACTGGATTTTAGGAAGTGCACTCAAAGTAGTAATGATAAGCATAATGCAGAGGCCAATGACATGGTCCTGGAATCAATTTTGCCATCTTGTTTATTACTTTATTCATGTTTTAGACGTATATAACACATATTTTTCACTTCTTTCAAATTTGAAAAATCTTGGAAAAATTTCTAGCTTTGTCACTGCATATATGATGCAGTTCTTGTTTGCATGAGCACTAATTTGATGGCTTCTGTCTAGATTATTCTTGGCACTTTTGTTGACGAGGAAAGAGCCAATAGCCCACCAGCGCATGGGACTTTTGGTGAGTCGTCCGGGCGCCAAGGCAGTCCTTTCAATCATGGAGATAACAATGCGAACATGCAAGGCATGCCAAGCATGCCTTAGAGAAGTGAGTGCGTTCTGTTCGTTTCAGATACTGGACATAAATGATGCATTCTGCATCATTTATCCTGATAATAATATGTTTTTTGACTTAGTTATTGATTTTTAATGTTTAGGTTGCCAACAAATGTTAAAGGAAGCGAAGTAGAAAGATTTTGAACTGAATTTGAAGAAACAGAAGAAGTTCTGCACGCAGGCCTGAATTCTCAACATGGACTTGGAAAAGAAGAGTTACCATTGAAAAGTGCTGGAGTCGTGATATTCACGGCTTGTTGAAGAGTTTCTTCTTTATTTTCTTCTTTTATGGATTCTTCTATGCTTTCTACTTCGGTTTTGTTTTGTTGACGTTTTTCGGCTAAGTTTTATGAACCTTTTTGTTGGATGATTCTTAAACAGTTCGTTGATTTTATTTATATAAATTAAATGTTTTGCAATATTTCATGCCCTTACTTCTTGTTTATACTTGGAAAAGATTTATATGTTTCTGGACAGCTAATTATCATCACTTCGGGTTAAGTTAAGCTATTAATTAATAGCTTGTTTGGCCTAGCTTCTTCAAGGTCAATTTTTTTTTTAAATGTATTTTTTCAAAGTTGGAGTGTTTGGTCAAATTCTTAGAAGAAAAAAAAAAATACTAATAGCCTGTTTGGCCAAGCTACAAAAATCAACTTATTTTGAGAAGTGCTTTTTCTCAAAAGTACTTTTTTGAAAAATACTTTTGGTGAGAATCAGTTTGTGTTCGACTAATTTATTTAAAAGTACTTCTGAGCAGCAATTAGTGTTTGGGCAAGCTTTTAAAAACTGTTTCTAAGTATATTTTTCTCAAAAGTACTTTTGAGAAAAGTGCTCCGGGAGAGAGGCTATTTTTTTTTCCTTTTTCAAAATTGCTTATGCTTCTACTCAAAAACACTTCTTTTTCCTTTAAAAGCTTGGCCAAACACTTCAACTTTGGAAAAAAAAGCACTTTTTTTTTGGGGACTTTACATAACTGTCACAGTTTAAAAGAAATATTACATATTTTTAGCATTAAACTCAATATTACAGATATGGCAGGAAAATATTTATATTTGTAGCACACAGTTCCATTAAAATAGAAATATTAACTATTAATCCCTAAACATAAGAAATTTGAATGGAAAGTTAATAATTATTTGTACAAAAATCATGTCTTTTTCTCTCTCTTTATCTATTAGCTTTCCTTCTTTTTCTTCGTCTTCTTAGTTTTGTTTTCTACCGAAGCCAATATATTTTTTAAATTTGTTCCATTCATTTTATTTTTAGTTATCTTTCTTAAGTTTCTCTTACTTCTTTCTTCCTTTCTTAATATAAAGCTCTTATTTCGATAATAATATACGTTAATATATACAATACATATATATATAAAAATATACTTTGAATTAACACATATAAAATATACAAAACAAATACATAAAAAATACATCTTCAATTAAGATGACACTCAGACATGTGAAATATACATAAAAATATATATCTTAAATTTAATTAAGATGGTATATAAATATACAAAAAATAATATATATATATATATATAATGACACTTGACATATAAAATATACTATACATTAAAAATACCGCTTAAAATAAGATAGCACTTCACAAATAAATATACAAAAAATATATACATAAATATACATTTTGAATTAAAGTGATACCTGATATACAGAGTATAAAAGATGATCAATACATCTTGATTTAGGTGGCATTGAGATATGCAGCAACTTTTCAAAATATGGAGTGAAGAAGATGAATATATGGAGTGAAGAAGATGAATGCTGTAAAGGGAAAATGAAGATGGACAAAAAAAAAAGTACTTCCCGTGATTAGTGAGTGAGTTAACTTATTAGATGTTGAGCTTAATTTTTATAATGTGCCATTAATGAAAAAAAAGTGCTCTTTATGGAATAAACAATAAATGGTGCTATTTTTATAAATAATAGTTAAAAAAGGATCAAGCATGTAAAAAACTCTTTTTTTTTTTTGAAAAAGAGGGCTTTTGGCTTGGAGAAACATGGCCAAACAAGCTATAAGTGCTGCTCAAAAGTGTTTTACAAATTAATTAATCAAACACAAATTGTTTCTCACCAAAAGTACTTTTGAGAAGTACTTTTGGCAAAGCTTTTCCTATCCTAGAAGCACTTTTTTTTCTTAATTTTTTTTCCCCAAAGTTGATGTGTTTGGCCAAGCTCTTAGAAGATAAAAAAAAAATGTTTTTAAGTAAAAACAGTAGCTTATCTTCAGAAACACTTTTTTGAAAAGTACTTTTGAGAAAAATTATTGCTCCAAAACGCACACACAAGTATACGTGGTCGACAAGTAATATAGGATTGTAAGTTCAGATATCGTACCCACAGGGACTTGTGATTAACTATCAAGTAAATTAAACCAAACAATTAATCTATTCAAGCGAATCCTAAAGTATGAATATATAACTAAAATTAATGTAGAGTAACAAATTAATAGATTAAAGAAAACACCGACAAGCTTAAAGATGGATTCAATGGGAGAAAATATTCTAGAGCTATGGGTTAGCTAACAATCCCTTTGAGTTTTCTACCTAAACTGTCTAATTAATTTATCTGATTTATTGATTGACGGGGTTAATATTGCTCGTAGCCTTCTCCCGAAGTACAACTCGCCTATTCAAGCTAACCTAACGCCTATATTCCTATGGAATTAGGATTAACAAGAACACATTTATAATTCCCATATAATAACCAAACAAAGCGATTAGGTATATTCCTATCCTAACCGCAAATTCGTTCCCGATACTCGAGTTCAAGATCTTGCTCTACTCAATCTTATATGCAATCTAGAATTTTCTCTCCCGAGTTCAATCCTAGATTCGTAGATAGTATTTATTTGGTGATCAAGCAATCAAATAATTAAGTGCAAGATTAAATAAATAAATCAATATGATAAAATAATAAGAACAATTCAATGTGAATCCTAGTCCAGTCCCTTTGGGTTGCAAGGGAGTTCTCTTTCAGTGAATGAGTTTCTTGAGTACAACGTGAATGGTGTGGTTTACACTAATGGCTCAGTTTCTATGTCACTCGTTTCTTTTTGATACAATGCCTCACCAGTATTTTTTTCTCTTTCTTCTCTAATTTGTTACACAACAGATCTAGTAGAGCTACAATATTTGTTTGCAGTAGAACAATGAGAGGGTATTTGGTTCGATCAAAGTATATCTGTCTAAGACTTAAGGATGTGTATAAATACTTTGTAGGAGACCGTTGTTGAAGAGATTTGCCAACCCAAGAGATTTGATCCTTGGAAAGAAATTGGTTCTTTCCAAGAATAAGGTTATTTGCCATTTCTCTTCCTTGATGAGAGAACATTAATAGCTTTCCTTCTACAGGTCTTGATAGCATCAGATTTTCTCCTCGATTTTGGTTCTTCCAGTAATAGCAGCTTGATCGATCATCTTGCAAGATCTTTGATGCTTCTTTTTCGCTTCAATCAATCTCTGATTGATTTCCTTGCCGAATCTTTAGTTGTTTGATTGATTCCTTCCTTTTGATTTCTTCGATCTTGGATGCTTTCCTTGAGTCCCTATACCAAAAGCAATTATATTATTTTTCATCATTAAAACTAAAACCTTACAATCTCCCCCTTTTTGGTGATGAAAAAATAATATATGTAAACATCAGTTGACTTTCCTGTATTTACTCCCCCTCAATAGGTGTTGTTGAGACTATTTCCTTTAGTCGACTGCTTTTGCAGGAGCTCTGACTCCCCCTCAAGAGGTGTCGAGACTTCTTTAATCAACTTCTCCTGTAGTATCTATAGTCGACTTCCCCTGCAACGGATGTACCTGCACGAATATATATATATATATATATATATATATATATATATATATATATATATATATATATATATATATATATACTGTTCTTCTTTTAGTCAGCTTCTCCTGTAGTATCTATAGTCGACTTCCCCTGCAATGGTTGTACCTGCACGAATATACATATATCCTTTCTCCCCCTTTTTGGCATCAGCAAAGAGGGGATAAGATAACAACACACTATATACTAAAACACGATTTATAGCATGATATGCTTGCAGAGTTATGGCAAAACAAAATATATTTTCTAAACAGCACAAACAAAAACAAAAAAATCATCCAACGACTGGTTATCCGGTCCAAAACAACACAGCAAAAATATTGTCTAAAACATCCACATTAACGACGTAAGAAATAGGTAAGAGTGTTGCAAATCGCCCCCTTCAGTTGATCAAAGCTGGCATTGGCTGAGACAGTCACTCCATCAAGCTTGTCGTGTACCTCCTTGAATGCCTTGACTGCGTTTTCCCTAACTCTGAGAACTGCAACTCTTATCTTTGAAACATCAAACCTGTCTCTTTGGAGATTGCATGAATATCTCCAACAATGGACTGAGTAGCAGTAAGAAGATCTTTGAGGGCGGACAGCTGATTGTCAATGGCAACTAGTTTCTCAGCAAGGTCACGGACACTAGGACTATGATGGGAAATAGAAGGTTTGGATTTTGGATCAGGTTGAGCATGTTTGACCTCACCTTCTTGTTTCTTAACCCATGAGCCCTTCACACACATATACCCCATACTCGCAAACGCTCTGGAATTGTAAGATTTTGAAATAGAGATGAAGGGATATTCAAAGATAGAAATATTATGAGCTTCCAGAATGTGAGTGATGGCCATGCCATAAGGTATACTGGTGGGATATCAACACTTTCAATCATAAAATTGATGACCCAGGAGGACAGTTTGATCTTGAGTTTTGTCACAAGACAATAGACAAGAAAGGTATCTCTTCGAGAGAAGGTGGAGAAAGAGCCAGTACGAGGAAGCAGAGTAGTTGCAACAATGTGGGCTAGAACACGAGTTTCAAAGCTAACATCACTTGAACCTAACTGGTTTGGGAGAGATTCAGATGGACACTCAGCAATACACCGCTTTTCTTGATCAAAAGTGATTTCAAAATCATCAGCCCAGAAATTTTTGAAAAGCATGGGAAAACTAGAACACTTGCACTGGAAAATTGAATCAAACATGGCACAATCAAGAACAATGCGCTTCCCTAACACTAAGGATTCCAACTTATCAGACTTACTAGAGCGAAGATTTGCATAAAACATTTTTACTAGGGGTTCATAGACTTTAGGAGGGGGAACAGAAAAGAATTTAGACTAGCCCTGATGAACAAACATATCTTTTACCTTACAATTTAGGGCTTCCATGTCATCAAGGTCGACTACTCTCCCCTGAGCAATTGGCTTGTCTTTCAAAGCAATGAAAAAATCCATGTTTGGAGAATTCCAGAAATTTAGGTCGGACTCTAAAGAACTAGAGAGATCTATTTTCGACTTCTTTGGAGTAAAGGATTCAGGCGGTTCTTCCATAGGTCTTTTTCCTAGGACTTTTTCTCCTAAAGTATGAGAATGATCTGAGAGGTCCACTTGAGAGGAGGCAAAACCTTCCGAATGGTCGGACCCTAGGTCTACTTGTTCTGGAGGTCGAGATGGGGTTTTTGTTCTGGAGCGAGTACTCTTCCTGGTAGAAGCAGAAGGATTTTTTGAGTGTTTGGCCATGGAAGTGCTTTTGGTGAGAGAAAGTTTTTGGAGAGGGTTTCTAGGCGATGGGGACGATGGAGACTGAAAAGGGTTTTCAGGTATTAAAAGAAGGGTTTCTGATGGTTGAGTACAGAAAAGGAAGGAGTGTCAGTTAAACAGACGTGATGATTGGTTTTCCTTCTTTGAACTCTGTAACTGATGTGAAAAGAGAGGAAAAGAGAGGGAATTCGGAGGCGCAATTAATGATTAGAAAAAAACAACAAAGTTTGAACATTAGGCATACAAAAAGTAATAGTAACATATAGGTCCTAATATTAATGATTAATGCAAATAATACCAAGTAATTCTCTTAAAAAGCAAAATCTGTCCTCTAGTAATGGCTTAGTAAAGATATCCACTAATTGATAAGTAGTTCCAACAAAAGATAGTTCTATATTTTCCTTAAGAACATGATCTCTAATAAAATGATGCTTGATGTCTATATGCTTTGCCCTAGAATGATGCACAAGATTTTTAGAGAGACATACAGCAATAGAGTTATCACAGAAAATTGGAATGGGTTTAAAGAATAATTCATAGTCACCCAATTTATGAGACATCCATAGTAATTATGCACAACATTGTCCAATGGCGATATACTCTGCCTCAGTTATGGATAATGCGACTGATCCTTGCTTTTTACTGTTCCAAGATATCAGTGCCTTTCCAAGTAATTGGCATGTCCCACTGGTGCTTTTTTTGTCTTCCTTATCACCTGCAAGATCAGCATCTGAAAAACCTTCTAGTTTAAAATTGTTAGATCGTGGATACCATAATCCGTGAGAAACAGTTCCAATGAGATATGAATAATTCTCTTTACTCTAGTCAGATGTGATTCCTTAGGAGCTGACTGAAACCTGGCACATTTACAGACACTAAACATAATATCCGATCGACTAGCAGTTAGATAAAGAAGTGAGCCAATCATTCCACGATACTTAGTTTCATCAACATGATTTCCCTATTCATCTTTGTCGAGACTTGTTGAAGGACTCATTGGTGTGCCAATAGCTTTAGTATTGCTCATACCGAACTTTTGAATCAACTCCTTTGTATATTTTATCTGACATATGAACGTTGAATTTGAAGTCCAAGAAAGAACGTTAGCTCTCCCATCATACTCAGTTCGAACTCACTTTGCATAAGATTGAAAATTCCTTGCACAGAAGAGGATTAGCACTACCAAAAATAATATCATCAACGTAAATTTGAATAATGAGATTACCTTCTGATGATCTTTTAATAAACAGGGTGGTGTCTACTTTACCTCCTGTAAATCCGTGATCATTAAGAAATGAGGTAAGTCTTTCGTACCATGCCCGTGGAGCTTGTTTCAGTCCATACAGCGCTTTGGTCAGTTTATACACATGGTAGGGAAACTTGAATCTACAAATCCAGGAGGTTGTTTCACGTATACTTCCTCTTCAATGAAACCATTCAAAAAGGCACTTTTAACATCCATCTGGAATAGCTTGAATCTTTTAAAGGATGCATATGCAAGAAGAATTCGTATAGATTCTAGTCGAGCTACTGGAGCAAAGGTTTCGTCATAGTCGACTCCTTCTTGTTGTGAGTATCCTTGAGCAACTAATCTGGCTTTGTTTCTCACAACTTTTCCATCCTCATTCAGCTTATTTCTGAAAACCCATTTTGTTCTAATTACGGGAGCATTTTCAGGCTTGGGCATCAGTTTCCATACTTGATTTTTGTCGAATTGGTCTAGCTTTTCCTGCATTGCTTGCAACCAGCTTGAGTCTTTCAGAGCTTCCTCTATTTTCTTTGGTTCAATCTGAGAAATCAATGCTATGTTTGCTTTCTTCTTGAGAGCTCCCATGGTTTTCATTCCTTCGCTTGGATCTCCTATGATGAATTTTTGAGGATATTCAGGTTCACTTCTCCATTTATTTGGACGAACTGTATGAATAGTTGACTCCTTCAGAAATTCTAGTTGACCATTGCTGATCTCATTAGTTGACTCTATCACACCGTCAGATTTATTAGTTGACTCTTGAGATTTGCTTGTCTCTTGAATTTCTTGAGTTTGATCTTCATCACTTGCAATAATTCTTTTCTCAGCCGAAGTGTTATTATCATCAAATATAACATGTATTGATTCTTCCACACACAGTGTGCGTTTATTATAGACTCTAAAGGATCTACTATTTAATGAATAACCCAGAAAAATACCTTCGTCACTTCTTGGATAGAATTTTCCAAGATTGTCCTTACCATTATTGTGAATGAAACACTTGCTTCCAAACGGATGAAAGTAACTAATATTGGGTCATTTACCTTTCCACAATTCATAAGGAGTCTTCTTCAAAATGGGCCTTATGATACATTGGTTGAGAATGTGACATGCAGTACTTACTCCTTCTGCCCATAAGTGATTTGGCAACAAATATTTTAGTATCATAGTTCTTGCCATATCTTGCAAGGTCCTATTTTTCCGCTTAACGACTCCATTCTGTTGGGGTGATCTTGGGGCAGAGAAGTTGTTGGTGTATCCTTGATCATTATAGAAATCTTCAAATGCTCTACTTTCAAATTCTCCTCCATGATCACTTTGGATTGTTATAATCAGATACCCCTTTTCTCTTTCAACCTTCTTACAGAATATCTCAAAAATTTTCAAAGCTTCATCTTTATGAGATAAGAAAATCACCCAAGTAAAACGTGAGTATCATCAACAATAACAAAAGCATATCGTGTCCCTCATATGCTAGCAATTCTAGTAGGTCCAAATAAGTCCATATGAAGCAATTGCAAAGGCTTAGAAGTAGATACAATATCCTTATTTTTGAAAGAGTTTCTAGTTTGTTTTCCATTTTGACAAGCATCACATATATGATTTCTAGAGAAATTGAGTTTAGGCAAACTAATAACTAAATCATGCTTGGAAAGTTTTTCTATCAAATGCATGCTTGCATGACCAAGTTTCTTATGCCATAACCATGGATCATCAGATATGGATGTTAAACAGATATGACCATCTATATTTTCAAATCCATCAAGAATATAAACATTTCCATACCTTTTACCTGGGAGGATTATTTTACCTGTCTCATCTTCAATAGCACAACCTGTTTTCTTGAACTTTACTTCATACCCTGAGTCGCATAGCTGACTTATACTCAGAAGATTGTAGTTAAGTCCGTCAACAAGATAAACCTCAGTGATATCACAATTATTATTGAAAGGGACTGTTCCGGTACCGACTATTTTTCCTTTTGAATCATCACCGAACTTAACACTTCCTCCATCTATTTTTGTAACTTCCTTAAACAGGTTTTTGTCACCTGTCATGTGACTGGAACACGCACTATCTAAGTACCATTTTCCTTTGCGACTCCTCCTGTGGTGTTCCTACAAAACATAGTTATTACTTTCTTTTAAGTACCCAAGCTTGCTTGGGTCCTGGTTGGTTAGTATTACTCGACTCAGGATTTTTGGGTTTCCAAATCCATCCTGAAACATTTGATTTACGAAATCGACAAAAGGAATATTTATGTCCACTTTTGTTACAGTAGTGACACGTAACTCCTGATCCATTTTTGGATCTTTCATTAGTGTTAGTACTAGTTAACTCTGTTCTGGCTGATCCTTCTCCAGTTGTCTTGTAAGTCGCCTGGTTTGACCTGACAGAACTATGACTGGTGGATTTGCGCATGCCATTGAGTTGCATTTGCAATTCCTCAAACTCTTCTTGAAGTACTTCTTTTTCAATTTCACATACTTCATGTTTGAGTTTCCAGTCTTTTACTTCTTTGTTGAGTCTCTTTAGTTCATTCATCTTTTTTTGAGACTCTTTCAAAGTAAGGTCAAGAATATCCTGCAATTCATTACACCTTTCACAGTTATAAGATCTTACCTCGCTTGTTTCACCTCGTGCCATGAAACAGTTCTCATTGTCATCTTTGCATTCATCGTCTGAAGTGTCCTCATCTGTCCAGCACCCTGAGAGTTTGTTCATGTCGTTTTCCAGAATTGTCATGAAGCAAAGATTTGCTATCTCTTCGTGTTCTGAACTGTCTTCATCACTCCAGCTTCCAAATGATTTGTTCTTGTTGAAGCCTCTGGAAATTTTTCTTTTTAGATCAGGACATTCAGCTTGAACATGTCCAAATCTTCCACACTCATAGCATTTGCCATCATTTTTGTCTTGTTCATTATATTGCCTGGATCGCCTGGGTGGCATCCTTCCTCTTCTCGCATTCTTGTATCTCCTCATTAAACCATCCATGTTCCTTGACACCATGGCAACCTCTTCTTGAAGAGCTTCAGGGTCATCATCGATATCATTTTCTGCTTTTTCAGTTGTGGCCTTGAATGCAACTGTTTTCTTCTTTTCTTCCTGGTTTGTTTTCTTCAGATGAGTTTTCTCGAAAGTTATGAGTTCTCCTCGAAGTTCATCATATGATAGCTTATTCAAATCCTGTGATTCAAGTGTAACCACTTTTGTCTGCCAAGTAGTGGGTAGACTTCTAAGAATCTTCCTAACTTGATCACCACTTGAGTATGGTTTGCCAAAAGCTTTTAGATCGCTAATAATTTTGCTAAATCTGGCAAACATCTCTTCAATAGATTCTCCTTCTTTTATCTCGAAAAGTTCATGGTCATGAACCAACATGTTGATATGGGTCTTTTTCACTTTACTGGTTCCTTCATATGTAACTTTAAGTTTATCCCACGTCTCTTCGGCTGTATCGCAACTAGAGATTTTCTCATACTCCTCACCACTTATAGCATTATAAAGCAGATTCCCAGATTCCTTGCCTTATTGTTAACTTGCACAACTGCTATTTGCTCATCTGTATATGAATCTATATCTTCAGGATCAGCAGGTGGTTGAGCGGCGGCCGACAGAGGGTAGTTCCCCTTTTTGATAACTCTCCAGACTTTGACATCATAGGCCAAATTTGTGTATATTTCCATAGGCACTTTACAGTGAGAGAAATTTTGTCCATTGAAATACGGTAGCCTCACTTGCGATGTTCCTACTTGGAAGAGCGCTCCGATAATAACTTGATTTGCCATGATCTTTTCTCACAAGCTGTTAAGCAAAAGAAAAATGTGAGCCTCGCTCTGTTACCAATTGAAGTACAAGAGAGGGGGGGGGGGGTGAATTTTTTATTTTTATATTTTAATCACTACAAGTTGACTAGTTTTCTAATTAGTTGACTAGATGTAATAACGAGATAATAGTAAGAGCAGAATTTGAGATGCAGAAATAAAGTGCAGGAATTAAAGACACCGGAATTTTTATGGTTTGGATTCAATGTGAATCCTAGTCCAATCCCCTTGGGTTGCAAGGGAATTCTCTTTCAGTGATGAGTTTCTTGAGTACAACGTGAATGGTGTGGTTTACACCAATGGCTCAGTTTCTATGTCACTCGTTTCTTTTTGATACAATGCCTCACTAGTATTTTTCTCTCTTTCTTCTCTAACTTGTTACACAACAGATCTAGTATAACTACAATGTTTGTTTGCAATAGAACAAATAGAGGGTATTTGGTTCGATCAAAGTATATCTGTCTAAGGCTTAAGGATGTGTATAAATACTTTGTAGGAGGCCGTTGCTGAAGAGATTTGCCAACCCAAGAGATTTAATCCTTGGAAAGAAATTGATTCTTTCCAAGAATAAGGTTATTTGTCGTTGCTCTTCCTGCAATAGAACAAATAGAGGGTATTTGGTTCGATCAAAGTATATCTGTCTAAGGCTTAAAGATGTGTATAAATACTTTGTAGGAGGCCGTTGCTGAAGAGATTTGCCAACCCAAGAGATTTAATCCTTGGAAAGAAATTGATTCTTTCCAAGAATAAGGTTATTTGTCGTTGCTCTTCCTTGATGGGAGGACTTTAATAGCTTTCCTTCTACAGGTTTTGATAGCGCTGAATTTTCTCCTTGGCTTTTGGTCCTTCCAGTAATAGCAGCTTGATCGATCATCTTGCAAGATCTTCGATGCTTCTTTTCCGCTTCAATCAATCTCTGATCGATTTCCTTGACGAATCTTTAGTTGTTTCATTGATTCCTTCCTTTTGATTTCTTCGATCTTTGATGCTTTCCTTAAGTTCCTATACCAAAAGCAATTGTATTATTTTTCATCATTAAAACTAAAACCTAACAATTTTGACGTCCAGAATTGATCATCGACCCCCGAACACGATCTCGGCTTAATCTCTAAGGCCCCAGAAAACTTCACTATGTAAATTAAGGTTTTGTAGTGTCAAGGTAGGCTAATATCTTGTATTTTCAGAGTTTTGGGTTGAACAATGCGTTGGGGAGTAGAAATTTTAATCACAGCTAGATTAGGCTTTAAGCTGGTGAGGCCTGGATAAAGCCAGGCTGGAGCAGGATTTAAGCTAGTGAGGTCTGGATAAAGCCAGGCTAGACCAGGCTTTAAGCAGGTGAGGCCTGGATAAAGCCAGGCTAGACCAGGCTTTAAGCAGGTGAGGCCTGGATAAAGCCAGGCAAGGCCAGGCTTTAAGCTGGCGACGCCAGGCCTGTAGCCCGGTCCGAAAACTTTGGACTATCCATTTTTCTATCCTTATAACCCGACCTAACTTCTTTATATACACGCAATGTGTCATTTTTGATGAAAAATCTGATGCTTTAGAGTGAGAGAGTGAGGCCTAGAGTGAGAAAGTAATCTTCATCAAATCTTTCTTCAATTCTTTCTCAAATTTTGAAGATTAACAAGGAAAACACACTAGAATTTCATCCTCGAGGTAAGTTTCTACACCCTAACCCTTAATTTCGAATTTTAGCTAAATATGGGTAATTAACAAGTGATTTCATGGGTATAAAGGTTGATTATCTGGCATGCATATATGATAAGAGGGTATGAGGAGATTGTGAGCTAAAAATGTAACAAATGGGATGTAGGATGATAGAATCTCTCACAAAAAGGTCTTAAAATCATAATGCACACTTAGTGCTTGATAATGTGCTCAAATGAGCTAGAATCTTGATTGTCTCTCTAATTTTTCGTTCAACTTGTAGAAATTGAGCTCCCTTGGTGTCCATGCAAATGTTGTAGGTTCCGAAATTTGATTGGTGTAGTGCTTGCTATTTCAAAAGAAATTGGTGTTGCAATAATATATGTGAAAGGTGTGTCTTAATATTTTCAATATGCTATTTTTGGTAAATTGTGAAGAATGAGAACCATGTGCTAAAATGCCTAGATTTCAAGTCAAGTTTAAATTGAGATTGTTGTGCCAAACTATGTGAAATCCTCTCTATGCTTACAACTTGAATTGCTCTTGTATGTGCCTATTATCTTAAATTGCAAGGTTAATGTTGAAAGTGAAAATGATGTTAAATGTGGGGGAAAAGAGTTTGAGTTATGAAATGTGGCATAGTGCCAAGTAAGATGTGATAATTGTGGCCCCAAGTGCCGATGAACTGATATATGTGAACTAAAGATTGAAATGAGATGATTGATGGAAAAGGAAAAATATCTTGGTAAGACGGCCTAGCCGATCGGGCCGTGATCGGACGCCATGCCGCACACATATTGGAATTGTGCTGATATTGAAACCAGAAAGTGAGAATGAAATTTTGACTGAGGTACATGTCTCAAATGAGGCAACCTAGCTGATCGGGTCGTGATCGGACTCCGTGCAAGAAAGCGGTGGTATTGTGAATGATGATGTAACAGTATTAAATGTCCCAACCTAAAGCTATGGAAATTGTGTGAAAGCTATGTGATCCCTTATTTGATGATGTGGTGATTGTTTAAAGCTTTGTTGATCCTTATGATTTCTTTATTCTTGTATGGTTGTTCTTTCTAATGAGATGGTGTTTAGTTATACATACTAGTACTATTCCACGGTACTAGCGTCCCTTTTGCCGGAGTCGCTACATCTTTAAATGGATGTAGGCGGTTCCATAGCAGGCAGTGTTGGTCGCAGCTAGTGACGCATCTTCCTTTCAGCTGACTTGGTGAGCCCCATTTCATTTTGGGGTCCTGTATCGTTGTTTATCATGTACTTTATATTTTGAGGTATAGTCGGAGCCTTGTTGCCGGCATTTCCATATTACTCTTCAGTTGTATTTAGAGGCTCCGTAGACAGGTTGTGTGTAGTGTTTGATGTCGGGAATTGTATTGGTAATGTTGGTATTTGGCAAACATGTTTTTCAATAAATCTATAAACTTGTACAATTTTGGAAATATTGAATGATGTGTTAATGGGAATGAAATGGAAGTGATTAATGAAATCTTTTCAGTATTTGATTAATGGAGTACATCTCCTTTTTATTTAGGGATGAAATTGGGTAGCATGAAATCTAACAGGCTTGCTCAGTCGGGTTCACTCGGTTGAGCGCCGGTCGCGCTCCTCGGTTTTGGGGCGTGACAAATTTGGTATTAGAGCCTAAGGTTTTAAAGTGTCCTAGGATGTCTCGGAGCCGTGTCTAGTAGAGTCCTTCTTATCGGTGTGTTGTCGACCACATCTATATGTTGGAGGCTACATGGACATTTAGGAATGTTACTCTTCTTCTACACTTCATATCGTGCGATAAAGCTTGACTATGAGATTGTCTTCTAACTCGTGCGTTGAGATTCACGTCAAGTTTAAACGCTCTTTCGTCTATTCCAAGTAATGTTCTCATATGACCTGACAAATGGGCAATGGCCTGAAAATTAAGGAGATGGCACGTGTATCTTGTTGAACGAATGGTATGGACAGATAGGATAAGTATGAAGTACCATGAATATACTTTAATTGAGAAAATATGTTAAAAGTGACCACCCACCTCAAGACGTTGACTTGATAAATAATAAGTAAGCTTGAACAGCACACGTGAGTAGTGTGGGAAGCATGTATATGATCCTAAGGTGTAAAAGAAAATTTGTTATACAAGTACGTGATGTATGGAAGACATGACCATGAGATTAATGATGGGAGTGCAAGTCTCTTCCAGGAGACAAGAAGTTATGAAAGGAGAGTCAATAGAACCCTTAATGAGAAGACCCTTGTACTATGAATTTAAAAAGAATCCAGAAATGTACGAAGTTGTATTATACTATTAAAGGTTATTGAAATGAGGAATTGGAATTTCAAACCCATATGGCTGGGTAAGAGTAGAGGACTTATGAGGTTAATACCGTGGCGACTTAAATGTCCCTAATAGTCGAACATATATATATACGAGGGCTAGACACATGAGGCATATGCCCCTGAAGTTGCTAAATTCAAGACTTGTGTCGAAATCCGGGACGTTCACCGCAAGTAAGGGAGGAAGGACCACAATGAGGACACTTAAACACCATGAAACAAGAGTAAGACCATGTAGCTATGATGTTTGACTAATTCGTTGAGGACATGGGTAGTATAGAAGAGTGATAATGAGTAACGTGATTCTCTGAAAGGATATGCTAATAATAAGCAACTAGTACCCCATGAAGGTGGAAGGTTAAGGAAGGTGAATTCTTCATGCATGGCTATGTGAATGATAGGGCCAACAATCCTAGGAAATAGGAGTAATGTTTGTAAAGGGGATTTTATTCTTGTTAGAGGGTCGGGAACAATAGACCCAAAGAAGTACTATAGATCNTCCTTGTTCCTATAAATGTCACTGCACCACTAGATAATGTAGTATATTAGTATGTTACCAACGTGCGTTAGGGATGTTTAGTCGAGGGGCATCGATAAATTTATTTCCCTATAATCCTAAAGTCGTCAAGTAAGTCACTCCTTAGTATATCATTATGAACAACACAAAATTTTACTTGATATACATGTACATCCATACTGAAGAGTTCTCATAAACATGGACTTAACAAGATGTTGAATCACGAAACATTGCATGCACCTACTCTTTGAACGAAACCTATTATTCGTGAATCCACTCTATCACAAATTCTCTTATTTTACACCCTTTTGTGGAATTAAGTTTTATATTATGTCCTTGAATTGAGTTATAACCCTAGGATTAATACTTCTCACTCACTTTCCTAAATTCTCAACAAGGGACTATACCCGATGAATTTCTTACAGAATCTTTTTATTTAAATGGGCAACATCTACTCGCT